TAAAGCAATGGACTTTCTTGGTTCCACGACTGATAACGGTATGTTAACAATGTTGTTCTCGTTTCCGGAATCTGTTCTGCCTCTAGATTCTAGGTCTTTTCTTCTCGAACCTCTATTCCTAAGATGGGTTTCTGGTTTCTTACACGCGTTTTTGTTGCTGGTGCTGTTTTGTTCATGGGTGCGTAAGAAATTGAGGGGAAATAATGGTTTTGGTGGTGTTAGGGAGAGTTTGAAAGATAGGAGTGGTTTCGGGTTTAAGTCGTCGGCTCTGTTTTGTAGTTTAGCTCTGTCTCTGCTTAATCTCGTGTTGATGTCGTTGAGTGGTTTCTATTGGTACGAGAGTGGTTGGTCGGATAATGANCAGCTAGTTTCTCTNNTNGGGTTTCTATTNGCAATGNTTNCNTGGGGGGTTTTGTCGATTTGCTTNCATCGCTGCAGTNATTANGAGCAAGTAAAGTCTCCGTTTTTACTTAGGCTTTGGTTGGGTTTCTATCTTGCGGTTTCTAGCTATGCTCTTGTGGGAGACATTGTTATGTACAAGAAGCACAAAAGCGTTCCTGTTCACATTCTAGTGTACGATATAGTTGCTTTTAGTGCTGCTTTGTTTCTCGGTTATGTGGCTTTCCTCAAGAAAGCTAGAAGAGGCAACATCAATGGAGTTTTGGAAGAACCGCTGTTGAACGGCGATGATTCGAGTATTGCTGGTGGTACCGTAGAGTTGAATAAGAAGAGTGGGAGTGATGAGGCTACTCCTTATTCTAGAGCTGGCATTCTCAGTCTTTTGACTTTCTCATGGATGGGTCCATTGATTGACCTTGGAAATAGGAAAATCGTTGATCTAGAAGATGTTCCGCAGCTTCATGATAGTGACAGCGTAGTCGGTTTAGCCCCTAAGTTTAGGAGTATGCTTGAATCATCAGGTGGTGGCGAGAGAAGTGGCGTGACCACGTTCAAGCTGTTAAAAGCGTTGTTCTTTTCGGCTCAGTGGGAGATTCTAGTGACTGCATTCTTTGTTTTCATCTACACGGTTGCATCGTATGTTGGGCCAGCACTCATTGATACATTCGTCCAATACCTTAATGGACGTAGACAGTACAACAATGAAGGNTATGTGCTAGTCATTACTTTCTTTGTTGCTAAGCTTGTGGAGTGCCTTTCGCAGAGACATTNGTTCTTTAGATTACAGAAGGTTGGTATTAGGATGAGATCTTCCTTGGTCGCNATGATATACNAAAAGGGTCTGACTCTTTCAAGCAATTCAAAGCAAGGNCGCACNAGTGGGGAGATTATAAATTTCATGACGGTGGATGCTGAGAGGATTGGTAANTTTAGTTGGTACATGCATGACCCATGGNTGGTTTTGTTACAAATCGGTCTAGCTTTGTGGATCTTGTATAGAAATCTTGGACTAGCAGCAATAGCGGCTTTAATTTCTACCATTNTNGTANTGCTTGTGAACNTTCCATTCGGGAAAATGCAAGANAGGTTTCAGGAGAAGTTAATGGAAGCTAAAGACAAACGNATGAAATCAACTTCTGAGATCTTNAGAAACATGAGGATTCTCAAACTTCAAGGGTGGGAAATGAAGTTTCTGTCCAAGATTTTCGANCTTAGGANCTCTGAGGAAGGATGGCTGAAAAAGTATGTGTACAACTCGGCTGTTATAAGCTTTGTTTTCTGGGGGGCTCCTACTTTGGTGTCAGTCTCCACTTTTGGTGCTTGTATACTTCTTGGAATTCCTCTTGAATCTGGAAAGATACTCTCTGCGCTTGCAACCTTCAGGATTCTGCAAGAGCCGATCTACAATCTTCCCGACACTATCTCCATGCTTGTGCAAACAAAAGTTTCTCTTGATAGAATTGCATCCTATCTTTGTCTAGACAATTTACAGCCAGATGTTGTTGAGAGACTTGCCAAGGGAAGTTCAGATATAGCTGTGGAAGTGACCAACGGCACTTTATCTTGGGATGTCTCATCCGCTAGCCCGACTCTTAAAGACATCAATTTCAAGGTGTTTACTGGAATGAAGGTTGCAGTTTGTGGTACTGTCGGCTCAGGGAAATCGAGCTTGCTTTCATCCATACTAGGAGAAGTACCCAAGATATCTGGAAGCCTTAAGGTTTGTGGGACAAAAGCGTACGTTGCACAATCTCCTTGGATTCAGAGTGGTAAAATTGAGGACAACATCTTGTTTGGTAAGCCTATGGAAAGAGAACGTTATGAAAAGGTTCTTGAAGCATGTTCTTTGAGTAAGGATCTGGAGATACTTTCATTCGGTGATCAGACTGTCATTGGAGAACGCGGCATCAATTTGAGTGGTGGACAAAAGCAAAGGATACAGATTGCACGCGCTCTCTACCAAGATGCAGATATCTACCTGTTCGATGATCCTTTTAGTGCTGTGGATGCTCACACAGGGTCACATCTCTTTAAGGTAAAATCTTCTTTCTTAGCCATTTGTGTGATTGTAAATTCTCCTTCTGTAAACAGTTAGGTATCAAATTGATTTTTATTCTCACACTCCTTTCAGGAAGTTTTGCTAGGGCTTCTGAGTTCCAAATCGGTTATATATGTAACCCACCAAGTTGAGTTCTTACCTGCTGCTGATCTTATACTGGTATGTGAATAGTTATTTACTTTTTATCTTTTCAATTTTGTGTCACTGAGGATAAATGAAATCATGACTGTCTTCTGCATCAGGTCATGAAAGATGGAAGGATCAGCCAAGCTGGAAAATACAATGAGATCCTCAACTCTGGAACAGATTTCATGGAGCTTATAGGCGCGCATCAGGAGGCTCTGGCAGTAGTTGGTTCTGTTGATGCTAATTCCGTTTCTGAGAAATCAGCTTTAGGCGTTGAAGAAAATGGTGTTGTGAGNGATGATATTGGGTTTGANGGGAAANAAGAAAGTCAAGATTCGAAGAACGATAAATCAGACTCTGGGGAGCCNAAAAGACAACTTGTGGAAGANGAAGAGAGGGAGAAAGGCAGCGTCGCTTTGGATGTATACTGGAAATATATCACAATGGCATATGGAGGAGCACTTGTGCCTTTCATATTGTTGGGNCAAGTTCTATTTCAGCTTCTTCAGATTGGAAGCAACTACTGGATGGCTTGGGCTACTCCTATTTCNAAGGATGTGCAAGCTCCTGTGAACATTTCCACGTTAATGATTGTGTATGTTGCTTTGGCTGTTGGAAGTTCCCTCTGCATTCTTCTTAGAGCCACGCTTCTTGTGACGGCTGGTTACAAGACTGCTACTGAATTGTTTCATAAAATGCACCTCTGCATTTTCCGCTCTCCGATGTCTTTCTTTGATTCCACTCCAAGTGGAAGAATCATGAATAGAGTACGTTCGCTGGCCACAATATAGTTACTTGAGGATTTCCATATATACCCTTTTTTTTATCAATATGTTTTTTTTGTTCCTTCTATAGGCTTCTACGGACCAATCTGCAGTGGATTTGGAGATACCGTATGAGTTTGGAGCAGTTGCTATCACTGTCATTCAGCTTATTGGAATCATTGGAGTTATGTCTCAGGTTTCTTGGCTTGTTTTTCTTGTCTTCATCCCTGTGGTTGCCGCTTCCATATGGTATCAGGTACTTTCCGTTAAAATTTACAATCTAGTCGTTCGTAAGAGTTGATTCTGTCAAATTTACCCCTTCTTTTAAGTGATGAAATTGTGACAAATTTATCAACTTTTGCAGNGATATTACATAGCTGCAGCACGAGAACTTTCGCGGTTAGTTGGAGTATGCAAAGGCCCCCTGATTCAGCATTTTGCTGAAACGATTTCAGGGTCAACAACCATCAGGAGTTTCAATCAAGAATCTAGATTCCGTTGTGACAACATGAGGCTAAGTGATAGTTACTCTAGGCCCAAATTCTATTCAGCTGGAGCAATGGAATGGCTTTGCTTTCGCCTTGATATGTTATCTTCNCTTACATTTGCCTTTTCACTGGTTTTCTTGATCTCAATACCTACTGGAGTGATTGATCCAAGCCTTGCAGGATTAGCAGTGACTTATGGACTCAGTTTGAATACACTACAAGCTTGGCTGATCTGGACTCTCTGTAGTCTAGAGAACAAGATCATATCGGTAGAGAGAATCCTTCAGTATGCAAGTGTTCCCAGTGAACCACCTCTTGTGATAGAATCAAACCGACCTGAGCAGTCATGGCCTTCACGTGGAGCTGTTGAAATCCGTGATCTTCAGGTGTCTATCTATTTTATTCTTATCAAGATTCCGTGCTCTGTCTAGATCCCGCACTTGTTTCATTTTCCGACTTAACCATTTCGAAAAATTTATTAGGTCCGATATGCTCCGCATATGCCACTTGTGTTGCGAGGAATTACATGCACATTCAAAGGAGGTTTAAGAACAGGAATTGTTGGAAGAACGGGGAGCGGAAAATCGACTTTGATACAAACTCTTTTCCGCATTGTAGAACCTTCAGCTGGAGAAATCAGGATAGATGGAGTGAATATCTTGACCATTGGGTTGCATGACTTGCGTTTAAGACTTAGTATTATACCTCAAGATCCAACCATGTTTGAAGNAACTGTGAGAAGTAACTTGGACCCTCTTGAAGAGTACACAGATGATCAAATCTGGGAGGTCAGCCGGTTTAACTGCTGTCTTTCTTTAACTAGTAAAAGGAAATGTTCAGTCTTGACTAATGATTCGTCTGTGTTTAGGCTCTTGACAAGTGCCAACTGGGAGACGAGGTGAGGAAAAAGGAGGAAAAGCTAGACTCGAGTGTGAACGAGAATGGAGAGAATTGGAGTATGGGTCAGAGGCAACTCGTGTGTCTCGGGAGAGTTCTTCTCAAAAGAAGCAAAATCTTGGTGCTTGATGAAGCCACTGCTTCTGTTGACACTGCAACTGACAATCTGATTCAGAAAACATTAAGAGAACACTTCTCGGATTGTACGGTGATAACCATTGCACACAGGATATCTTCGGTTATTGACAGCGACATGGTTCTGCTTCTAAGCAATGGTTTGTCTGAAACTCTTTTTCATTTGATATATAATATAAGACGTCAAACATCTGTGCAAATGAATTGAAAATAATGTGTCTTTGTTTGTTCTATGTGCAGGGATGATTGAGGAGTATGATACACCGGTGAGATTGCTTGTAGACAATTCTTCATCTTTTGCTAAACTCGTGGCTGAGTNCACCGCAAGATCAAGCTCCAGTTTTGATTGAATCCTCTATTTTTCGTGTTGATGACGATGAAAAACAAAACCTTTGGAAGCATTTTAGTTTCTGAGTCTGAATTTGAATCAGCTGGAACATTAGCTGACTTATCCTAGTTTTTGTTCTTAGTTCTTTGTAATGTTTTAATCCAAATAACTGATGATTCTGCATCGCTACTTGTAATAAAATATGTTCATTATTTTTATTGAAAGATAGAAGAAACGTTGTTATCTTTCTTTCTTCATACTTTAGCTCTTCCCACACGTTTTTACTTACCGGAGAGGGATTTTTCTTGGCGAGGTTCTGTTTTTGTTTTTCTTTAGGGTTTTTCTGTTATCAGATTCTTATGACGGCTATGGCACTTGAGTTATCGGTTCTGGGTCGATCTGTAATTGGCACAAATACCTCAAAATTGAAGAGATATGGTCAAAAATCGAAGCTTTCAGGTAGAACTGAGCTACTACACTCACTCCCTGTGGTTTTAAATTCTTCTAAAAACTCCAATTTGAGTTTTACCAGCTACGTATGTTTTTTCTCTTGTAAGTTTCGTGAAATTGAGGTTTGCATTCTAATTGATTTGTTTCAATTATAAGTTTCGTGAAAATGACTTGTTTCAATAATCTCTTTCGGATTGGTTGAAAATCGCTGATTGTTGTGTTGATCCCCTTAAATGGTTTGAGAATGCAAATTTGTTTTCTGTGTAGTGATATTAGTGTTTCTGTTTTGTTGTCTGATTAAAGATAGGTAAGATTTTCTCGGCAAATTCTTCTGGTTTTGATAAGAATCAACGATGTGGGTTTGGGTCAGAGACGAGTCGAGTTTTCTTCGAATCTGGAATGATTCCAAGTGTCGTAAGTGGAGGGTGATTGATAGCCAGGACAAGTACCAAGGAAATTAGATGTCAAATGCTGGAAGACTCTTAAGTGTGAGAAGAAACAAGGCGTGTCATGTGAAGAGCCTGGTGTAGCAGATCGTCACTATGATTCGACACGGATATGGGTTATCGACAAGCCTGGTGTGTCCAAACAAGTCGTTCTCCAAGCAGTCATTATCAAACAGCAAAAAGATAAAGAAGAGCACCAACTCGTCTGATTCCGAAGAAGAAAAAAAGATCAAGATTCCAATGAAAGACTATTAGGCGTGCAAGTTCCTTGATGAGAAATGGGATCCCAAGTTTACAGTGATTGATACAACGAAACAATGGAATAAATACACCCGTGCAATGAACTAACGCTGTAAAAGAAACTATTCTGTACCTTTATATACAATCTTAAGCTTGCTGTGGGTTGTTCTAACTGTATTACTTAGTTGTATCGGTCTTGTGCAGCGGCTATACAGTGTTCGAGAAGGAAGAGGTTATATGAGCAACAAGTTGAACAACTTGGTAATTTTCAGCTGTGTATACATGATCAAGTGAGTTTTTTTTAATCAATGTCTTTCTAAGTTTCTAATTTCAGCAGTAATAGATGAATTATTGGGATCTCATCTCTCTTGAAAAACAGATGATTATGTTAGATGCATTGAGGAGCGGCTTCTGCAATGAAAGCAATCCAGAAAGCAACGTATGTGTTTATCACATTTTTATGTTATCCCCTTTTACTATCATTCTATTGTTATGGAGCCCGTGGAATCGCTAACACGGTCTTCTTCTTAAACTGTGTCGATCCTACCTATTTTGCCTTTTCGCATTACTCAAATGCTTTAACGCTACCACTGTCAATGATGTGGACAAGACCATGGATGAGATCATTGAGCAGACTGAGAACATGAAACAGATCCCAAGACCCATTATCAACTCCAATTGGTTCAGCGATTGATTTCGATGAGGTAACTTTCTTGTACCCTACATGGTGATATTCTTCATATTCTTTGTCTAAGAAACTTGTGTCATTTGTTTTATAACATTATGAAACTATTGGGGATGCAAGAAGTATACGGAGATTAACATGCACGAATACGAATACAAATTTAACATGGAGAACAAAATTACAATTTTGTGGATAGAAAAGTGTAATTTATAAAATTATTAACATAGTAATATTGTCAAATGAAGGATGATTATTTCATTACCTTATCATAGTTTCTAAATAGAATTTTAATTATATTGTATTGACTCACAATTTTAAAATACGAGGGAAAAGATCTATAAAAGACTATTTAATGTAACAAAATTTGATTTTTCAACATCTTTATGACAATAATAATGGAGCCAACGTCTCATTTGTCCCTTTGAGATCCGCAATAATATTTAATGTGGAGGGTCGAAAAGGAAAATAAGAGAAAGTGGTCATCATCCTCTGGTGGGGCTTGAAAAAAGAGGACCGCTTTGGGAGTGCTCTCCAAGAGATACAGACTTACATCGACGAGTCAAATCTCTCCACTCTTGTTCTATAAGTACTCTCCTCGGTGAAAAGCTTGGTACCCACAATCATTCACGACCCATTTTCTCAAATCATCGGGAAACAGAGAGGGAGGGAGGGACTTTCTCTGGTTCCACGATTGATAACGGTATGTTAACAATGTTGTTCTCGTTTCAGGAATCTGTTCTTTCCTCTAGATTCCTAAGATGGGTTTCTGGTTTCTTACACGCGGTTTTGTTGCTGGTGTTGTTTTGTTCATGGGTGCGTAAGAAAATTAGGGGAAATAATGGTTTTGGTGTTGTTAGGGAGAGTTTGAAAGATAGGAGTGATTTTGGGTTCAAGTCGTCGGCTCTGTTTTGTAGTTTAGCTCTGTCTCTGCTTAATCTCGTGTTGATGTCGTTGAGTGGTTTCTATTGGTACGAGAGTGGTTGGTC